GACGTACTTGTGGCAACTCTTGCAATAAAGAGGTTGGCGTATGGACACCTCGATACATTGCCTAACCCCATCGAATCCTACATGCTCCCTGAGGAAAAACCCGCGAGGAACCTTCCTCAGACGCCCAAAATTCAACTAATTGCACTTATTGTGAACTATGTGAAAACTTCTTTTGAAGTGTAACCCCCCAATCTTCTCCAAGTTGTGCACTCGGCAGCGAAACTGTAGTTTTTGATGTCGTTAACAATAACTTCCTGTGAGCGTGTGACGATAAACAATTAACCAGGACCTCTCCTCCTGCCATAACCACTTGGCTGGCGCGATATTGGGTTCTGCGGATGGAGCGGCGTCTAGGCGAACGCCATCGGGTGATTATGCCTGCAACCCCCCTCCCCCCACCCTCACTTCTCAACGCACCTCCCTCCCCGGCCCAACCTAACTACACAACGAAATCCGAGAAAAGCATCGTAATTAAGTTGCATAAAGACCTCTGTGTCAGTTCATTCGAATGCTGTCCCGTAAAAGAACGTAGTAAATATATTTTCAAAACTTGAAAAACAAACAAAAAAAAACTAAATATGAATACTTTCAGACGACACTAAGAAGGAAAATCGGGAAATGCGAAAGTCGTTCTAGAAATTGTAAAAAGTGAAACAGTAAAATTTGGCAAAGGGCATATATGTTGATGATAAAACAGTAAGAAATTTCATTCAAGTAACGATGTTTTCTTTCTTTCCCCATATGATACCACCCCCTGAAGCAATCGCGTTATTTTGACGGTGTACCTCGTGTCTGCGTCAACTTGCTCCCGGGCCCCTCTTCAGGCTGCTCCTTAATGAGAAGCAATGCGTGCGCCGCCGGCTGCAGCCCCTCGCGTGCGGAGCGGCGCTGCGTATCCAATAACAGCACGCCCCGCTCTAATAACGGATTCAAAATAATTGCAAACAAAACCCCCTGCAGCGCGGATCACCCGCTCCCACTCACTTTTCCCTCTCACTCACCCTTCCCCCCCGGCCGCACTCCAGCCGAGCCGACTCCCCCTTCACTGCTCGGCGCGGCCCGGCGACGCCTATGGCGACACCGAAATCTTGCTTTAATACGACAAAACGTCCTCCGGGCGACGCACGACTGGAGTCTGGAGAGGGGGTGCGAGTGGGAGAGGAGGCGAGGAGGGGAAAGAGGTTGAGGATCGCCCGGCAATCACTCGCATTTTAGGACTAGGAGAAATACTCGGCGGGAAAGAGGAGAACGTCGCGACGGAGGATGGACAGCTGCTGCTGCTGGGCAAACAGATAGCAGGAGCAAGAGCGCAAAGACAAAAAAAAATCACTTCTAAAAACAGAAAAGAAAAAAAGGAAGAAAAAAAAATAGACACAGAAAGAAAATAAAAGGACTTGCGGCGCGCGCGGGAATCCCCCTCTCCTCTTTGGTCCTCATTCTCATGCGATGGCCAAAGACTCCGTGGCTGATCCGTCATTTCCCGGGGCAGGCCGGCAGGCACGCCGATAGGGTGAGCGGGGTCCGCAGGGGTCCGCAGGGGGAGGCGGGGGAAGGCTAGGGGAGGGAATCGTTTAATCTGGGGCCAGTGGGTGCCCGCGAGGGGAAAGGGCCCCGCTCCACCGCCCCACCCCGCCCCGCCGCAGCCCGCCACGCCCCGTGTTTATGTTAGCGCCCGCGCCGAGTGACGCCGAGGACGCCCCGCCCGGCCCCGCCCCGCCCCGCCTGGTCATCACCGACCAAAATGACCGCCAAATTTCATTTCCGATCGCAGCTGTTGCTGCCCCTAACATTATTCACGCGCGTTATTGGCGCTCCTACATCGCACCGGGGGACACGGGACACCTGCCGGCCGCTCCTCCGCAGCGCGGCGCAGCGCCGCCTGTTGCCGATCCCAGCCACTTCCACAAATGGGGGAAGTCACTAAGCACCGATGAGCGCGCCGAGGGAGAGCCGTAGGGCTGGCGAAAAACAAACTATAAATCGGAAGATTATTCCGAGAGGAAAAAGAGTCATTGGTAGGACAGGAGGGAGGGGAGCTGATCGGGCTGGCGAGGGGCGGCGGCGCGGGACAGAAAATACGAAAAAGGGGTGAGCAAAAGGCGGAGAGAAAAGAAACTTATCGCTTCATTTCCAGCCTGAGCTCTCCTGGACACACTTCGCATCAAGTCGACCAACGTCTAGCGCGCTGCCAATATTGACATGGACATATTCGGAATGTGGTGATGGATCAGGGTGGCGAGCGGGCTGCCGAGCGGAAAACGGAGAACGCCCCTTTCGGTCCGCCCGCCCCGCCCGCCGCGCCCCGCAGCCGCGCCGAACCGCCAGGACCCCACCCCAACGCCAGCCTGCTGATATCCGGACGAATATATCCCTTCTGGCGCCTTGGCAGTCCTGCCAACTCAAGCCTCAAACAAATCCCGCCAAGCACGCTTCCCCCGGCCCCTAGGAAAGGTCTCGGTACCGAAGGAGGAAAAGTGTACCAAAAGAGCAACGCCGCAATTACAGCTGGCTTCCGTGGCCTGAAATGCTTCATGTGGGGGAAGGGCACGACCTCGGCGATGAGGATACGAGGGAAAGGGGTCGCGTCGAGGGCAGGGAGGATTCGAGAAGCGTGACATTTTGGAGGAAAATAATATTGTTATACAGCGGCGCTGTGGTGTGGCGTGTCATAACTCTGCGTGTGTGTGTGTGTGTGTGCATCGTGCCCGTGTGTGGCGACGAGATCCGGCAGTACATGGTGTTCGTCGCGAAGCAATAAAACGATTCCGCGCGCACCAAACTTTTGTTCCGCAGTAGGTCGCCTCTGGACCACAGCCTGTCCGTGACACTGCAGGCGGGGATGGAGAGGGTTGGGGCGTGGCGCGGCGGGGCGGAGCTGGCTTGAGAGCCGCACCACCGCGCTGCTCGAACCGGAGCCAAAGGAAGCCAAAGAAAGCACCTTACCAAACGGTCGGGAAAAGTAGGGGGAAAAAACTGTTGATGAACGTGTACTTAGCGGCATTTGCACTGCAATCCCTGTATTGCGGATAGAAAAGAACAGAAACAGAGGTCGGAAATGAAAACCACCCCCCGGGACACTGTGACGTTTCGGACGCATTTCTACGCTCTCAAATGCTGTGCGAAAAAGCTAAGATGAGACTTTTCAATTCTGACTTCCCTCTCTGCTTTTCTCCTTCGCCCGCGCTCCTCTCCGGGCCCTGTTCGAGTAGGGGTTAGGTGTCGCTGACCTTGAGTTATTATGTGCCAACGCAGCGCACACTACTTTACACGGAGATTTGGAAACGAAGGGGGACAGAGAGCGAGGACGAGAGTAGGGTAGAGACGGAGAGAGAGAGACAGAGAGAGACAGAGAGAGAGAGAGAGAGAGAGAGAGAGAGAGAGAGAGAGAGAGAGAGAGAGAAGAGAGAGGCGTGCGCGCGTGCCATCATTATACGGCGTGACGAACGTGACATGTAGCGGCGCTTTAGGGCCTAAGCCCGCCGCTGGACGGCCGGCGTGCGGGGTCAGCCCGGGGGTCAGCCCGGGGGTCAGCCCGGCCCCGGGGTCGCTCCGGCTCACCCCGCATCGCGCGCCCGCGCAGAACAGCGAGAGATTAAACAGTCGCGAAGGGCCGCTCGGCCGCTCTCAAAATGCCCAACTCGCCCTCGCCTGCACCGGTGAAAGAGGAGGGGAGGGAGAGAGGGTGGAGGAGGAGGCAAAATCCAGGATTATCCTTGTAAGGAGCGAGGGCCGAGCCGGGGGGTCTCCAGCGGCGGCCGGGTGGGTGGGGATAAGACAAAGGCCTCCTGGTGCAGCGCACGGGCACAGCCGCGAGTGTGCGGAGGAAGGGCTTAATCTCGTTGGCCGCGATGCAAGTCACCGGGCATTACGACGGGAAGCGAGCGATCGCAAGTGGTGCTTTGTTCTGTGCTGAGCTGAGGGAGGGGGGGATGCAAGGCAGGATATCTCCGAAACCAGAAGGCACGCTAATTCAACGAAGTCCAAAACTATTGCTTCCAGAGAGAAACCTCACAAGGCAGCCTCATTGAACCTGCTCTCTGCTCACTGAGCGAAAGTAATACAGAGAACGACATTGCTAAGGTAACCCCCCTTTAACGACTTTTGTTTTGGACAGTGATGGCAGGATTCATCCCTCGGCATCATCACTCGTGACGGCAATTGTGTGACTGTGACCGACAGTTCCACGTACATGGTCGCGCACTGCACCAGGCAGGCCACGCCCAGTGTCGGGTCCAGCCGCTCCGTGAGGCGACGTGACAGCCGAAGAGTGACAGTGACGTCATAAAACGAAGACTTGCGCGCACCGAGCCGATTGCCTCCCCTCTCGAAGCTGTATGCAATGCGTCCTGTGGCGCCGACAGTAAAGGGGAGGGGGCGAGCAGGCGCGCAACAGAGAGGAAGGGAGAGAGAGAGAGAGAGAGAGAGAGAGAGAGAGAGAGAGAGAGAGAGAGAGAGAGACGCCAGTGAGCGGGAACGGCGGTTTGAGGGGAGGGTGGAGGCAGAATCGAGATTGGTGACGCCCGGCCCGGCCGTGTCACAGGCTCATCCGAGGAGAAAGTGAATTCCCGGGCCGTAGGGTAGGGATATGGGGCGGGTCTCTAACCATATATCAAACAAAACTTTACACGAGGCTCACGGCCCGATTTACGGCGCAATAGCTCTCGCGACATGTCCATCCCCCCAGAGGGACCCGGCGTAGCCCGCGCGCACTAAAAGGGCAATAAAGGGAATGACAAACTATAAACGCCGCTGCCACTTTTCTTTTCGGCCGAATCCTAAATAGCAAAACGGCTGCCCCCGCAACGCTCGTACGCATACGAGGGAAGACTGAGAATAAAACATTCACAATTTTTATATTTATCCTAGTACACGGGGGTGACGACGAATTTCCGTCCTCCTGCACCAAACTGCAGGCGCGGAGGCGTTTATGTGTGTCGCTTTCGCACGCACACCTTTACACATCACGCGGGCACAGAGTGTTATTCAATAGATTGCCTCACCTCTCGCCAGCTTGCCGCCCCGCCAGACGGCCAGCTGGGCGCCGTTCTCTCGCCTCCACGTGATCCTCGGCTCCGGGTGGCCCGTCGCCTGGCACGTCAGCGTCGCGTTCTCATTCTCCGTCGCCGTCACGTCGGAGCTGGTGCCGCCGTCGGAGATGTCCGGGGGAACTGAGAACGGAACAGGAAAACAACACACTTAATTTAAAACAATCGGAAACAATTATACACAAGCATAGACAATCACACACAATCGAACACAAGCTCACAGAATCATCACAAGCATACACAGTCTGAACCAATCACAAACAAAGCGACACAATCACACAAAAACGGTCACAATCATGACACAATTTTTCTAAATATGCGTCCAAACAATCTGAAACAATCAGAGACAATCACACACAATCTGAAACAATGATTGTCTAGACACAATCATGTGTACACTGTTTTGGCCAGTTCCAAACACCTCGCACTGAACACTGTTGCAGCGCCGTGTTCGGCATGTTGCAATAACGACGGTGCATCCGGCGGCTCTATTCATTCGCAAAGTTCGATCGCTGTACACTCCCTGCCCCCCAACCAGGCCTGGCGTTGCCCAGAGTTTGGTCTGGTTTGAGTTCGGAAGGCGGACGCCCCGCACCAGCGTTTGTCTGAGTTGTGCGGTTGTGGTTTCGTTCCAATGACCCCCCCC